ATTTTTTGAAGACGTCTAACTCTACTTGACAGACGCAAACATGAATTTTTTTTCACCAATATCTAGCATCCATTGTGTACATGAACAATAAAGAAAATCAATGTTCTCGCTATTTATTGTCTACTTTCCGGAAAAAAGTCAATCTATAATTATTTCCTGTTGTTCACTTTCGTATCAATCGATGCTTATTAAATAAGAAAAAAAAGGTTCACTTAGTTTGAAAGAGCACATTATTAATAAAAGCAAGAGTTGAACAGTTAATCGATAAACAAACTTTGTTATTGAAAATCATCAAATCAAAAATAGCAAGAAAATTTTCGATTGAATGCACTAGTTTAAGTTCTATTTATAGAAACGAGATCAAGGAAATAGACACCTGTGGATTCATGTTTCTGTGGACTCAAGTCCGAGAAAAGGCTTACAGAACCGTACATTTCATCTTTGCTTGAACTAAACAATTATTTTACAGATCATTTCCTGATTTCGTTACACAAACAATAATTAGCTTACCATTTCAATAGCTTTTCCACGTGCTAATCCTTTTTGACCGATCATAACAAATGAATCTCGATATTTAACCTTTTTTATTGATTGACTACCATAATTTTCTAACAATGATAATGAGGCGTCTCTTAATCTAGAATATAAAAAAAAAAAAAAAAATAAAGCATCAATAATAAAATTCTTTTTGAACGTACCCATATGTCATTTCATCAAAACTAGCTAAAATCAGAATATCACCATCGTTTATCTTTAATTTTAGAGTTCTTAAAAAGAAATTTTCTAAAACAACAAAATGAATGTTATAAACTTTTCTTTTATCATAAATATATACATTGACTTTACCTTCTAGATATGTATCAAATGTTTCTACTAATTTAACATCATAAGTTTTACCATCAATTACTACTATATTAGATCCACGACTAATTTTTGAATCTTTTAAATTTTTATGAACTAATCTAAATGAAACAAGAAATAAAAATAATTTAAAATGTATATATATTGATAATACTACATACAATTTATTATTAAAACATATCATCGGATATTTATCTGTTCCAGTTCCTGAAATAACTTTATATGGAATAGAATCATGTGAACATGTTTCATCAATTTCACAACCTAAAAAAGAAAATAAAACTTGTTTGAAAAATAAGATCTAATCTATAAGATATTTTTCTTTAACCAGCATCTGGAACTAATAATCGTTTTATTTGTTTGTTTTCTTGCGGGAAAGAAAGATATTCGTCTGTTTGATTTTGATTATATATTTGTTCACCTGTACGGAAATTTTTATCTGATAGATTATCGGATACTAGAGAAAAAAAAATCATTTTAACAAAAAACAAAAAAAAATAAAGTCTAAACATACGATTTCGTTTTGAAAGAACATATGTATTTATAAAAATCACAGTAATGGAGACTAGAATAATCATTGCAAAAAAATTACCCACACCACCAAATTGTTTATGAATAACTCGTTTGAATTTTCTCATTGTCGCTTTTTTTAATTTCGTCTAGGGAGCATTCAGATTCAATATTACTTCGTTGTCTTTTGTCTTAAATTATATCTAAAAGAAAATAATAATTAACAATATAACGACAAAGATATTATGTTTATTCATAAGTCTTTTATCAAGTTTAAATATTAGACTTGGTTTAACAAAGAAGTGTATAGAGTGGGCGGTTTCTATTGAACATGTAGACATAACTTAATTTCTGTCCAAAACGATTTTTTTTCATAGAAATATTAGTATTTGTAGTCAAAAATAAGATTGATTCAAAAAAAAAAGATCAATTATTATGGAAAGTCATTGAAGTTGAATTTTATACTAAATTTTTTTCAAAAAAAATTTTTTACTTTAAAAATTGATAAATAGTATATCATTCGATACAGGATTTTACGCTGATTTCAAATATCTTTATTTTTCTCTGAAAGTGCTTTTGTGACAAAAGAAATCTCTAGAAATCTTTAAAAACCAAAGTTTTTAGAAAATCTGTATGTCAGTCCAGCATTAATTGTGCTAATTACGTGTATGTCCCTGATATAGAAGCACATTCTTTAACATTTTCTTCGAAATCGGACTAGTAACATAAAAAAAAACTAGCGATCAACTTTAGTAAAGACGTCTTTTTTTTAAATTGTTTAAGGTAAAAAGCGTAATGTTTTCTTTAGACAGAAAATTTTTCTTATAAATTGATAGAGCAAAAGTCTCAGTCTCAGACTATGTATGATTTATGATTGAACTCTAAATGATGTTCTTCTGTAAAACTACTGAATTTATGATTAAGTTTTTCAATGAATTTAGCAGTCCGAACAATTTTTTTTGTTTTTGATAAAAAAAATGAATCTTTAATCAAAGTGAATAATTGTTTATTCAAATTTAGAAAAAGTTCACTTTTGTTTTTTTACCTAATGTTCATGTTGTTGCCTACTGTAATCTAGACCAACGAACTAATATATCGAAAACAAAACTATCGAATTCATTTCAAAACAAAATGGGGACAATTAAATATCATTTACAAGTAAAAAACTTCTCTGTAAAAAGGTTATCTTACTTTGGCATTCAAAACGATAGACGTATTTATTTACTTTATGAGATTGCTTAGTAACATGAATTCTATGTTTGACAAATGATAGCAAAACATAAAAAAAGACAAGGTTTGATATAGAAGAGTATTGAAAATGAGTAACACAAATTTACACTTGTAGTTTTATGATTACTTTGTATGCGTTTGAGATTTTTAAGTTAATATTATGGTTTTTTCTTGCTCACATAATTACGAATTATGTTAATCTTTATAAAAGCAAGTAGATAAAAAGATCTATAAAATGTTAATCAAAAAGTAAAAGATAAAGAAGCATATGAATATGTTTTCTCTATGTCAATAGAAAAACAGAAAATCGATTGATGATCATTTTTTTTAGCTCGTATTAACAATATTCAATATAATAAAAAAAAAGAGAATTTCTTTAAATGTTTCATTCAGTAAAAAGTTATATCAGAAAAATATTTATCATTTTTCTTCTTTCTTGTTATTTGAATTAACTGAAAATATTAATTTTTAAGTTGAAATGAAATTACCAATATATCAAATAATAGTTAATAATTAATAAAAAACAAAATACATATTATTTGACATGATTAGTATAATAATTTTCCAATTGGTCGAATAATGTTTTATGAAAATCATGCATAGCATGTTCAACAGTTGGAACATAACGACCTGAATCATATGCTTGAGATTCAAGACCAAGTTGAACATTTTCACATAAATAAATATCTTCTTGTTGTACAACATTCGAATCTTCTTGTGAACAATTTTCAGCGGTTTTACTTGTTGATTGAGGACAATAATAATAATCCATATGAACAATACAATTACGTTCATCAATAGGTACAACTAAATTTGTATCCATATATGGTCCATATCGATTTATCATTAAATTAGGATAAATATATATGAAAAAAACATTACCTTCTGTTCGTTCCATACCAGTACAATATTGTACTGATGTTTTTGGATAATCGACAACTGTTTTATATTCCTTCATATTCAAAACAGAACATAATTGTTTATGAGCATAAGGTACATGATAACCACCGTCAAGATAATTATCAACAAATATTTTCCAATTACATTTTATATGATAACTTTTTCTTGTCACATATTCTAATTGTTCATAATTTGTTGGTTGTAAATATTTTTTATCCATCTGTTCAATATGTGATAGATCATTTTTAACATTATCATTATTTAAAAAATTTAAATTTAAATAAATAAATGGACCAACTGTTTGAATTGATATTGGTTTTAAACGAACAGCTGATGCTTTAAATTGTTCAATAGTTTTTAAACGAAATGCTCTTTTTAATCGTCCATTAAAATCATAAATCCAACCATGATATGGACAAGTTATTTCATTTGTTTCAATATGACCTTGATTGTCATTTAATAAAGACATACCATGATGACAACAAACATTATAATGTGCATATAATGTTGATGATTTATCAATATTTATTATATATGGTTCTGAAAGAAAACGATCTGTTAGAAAATCTCCTGGTTTTTGTAATTGAGATTTTCGTCCAGCTAATAACCAATTTTGACCAAAGATAGCATATCGTTCAAGTTCAAATACATCTCGAGATGTATAAAAACCAGATGGAAGTGTCAAAGCACGTTCAACGGGTATTTTTGATGACCATGATTGAAGAAGATGTTCAAGTTGAGTTTTATTTGATGGAGAACAAGTTTTCAAATAACGACATGATACTTGAAATACACTATAAGAAGAAAAACGTTGAGAAATTTATATATAAGTTTATTCATCAAAAATAGCAGCAAGAAAAAAAAACGTATCGATTGAATTCAGCAAAATCATAGAAACAAAACAGAAACCAGCATTATTTACAGCGAAGAACGTAACAGACGGAAATTCATCATCTTTTTTCAATTGAAAATAGTCTGATAAACAACTACTATAGTAAATACATTGCCATTGACCTAAAAATTAACCAACCAACAATGAATAGGATTTCTCGTTTATGATTGGTGAATAGAATGAAACTGTTCCGTCACTAAAAAATATAACAATAGGACAACCATGTATGCGTAGGAGTGTTTTCCTGGATTTGCTTGACAAGCTTAAGAATATTTATTAAAATTTTTGTTTTCAAATTTCTTTGAATTTTTTTTCGAAAATTTTTGCTTTGTTTTTTTTTTTCTTTGTCAATAATTGTTATATATTTATTACTAGTTTATATTATACTTTATTTAAAGTATCTATCTTTTAATCCGATTTATTGTCACTTATATTTGTGTCTGTTCGATAATTTATGCTCTGCTCTTCAATTATCGTTAGCTGGAGTGATTCCATTTTGAATATTAAGTTTCATTTCTATTAAACACAGGACAAAGGTAACATATTCAAACTTTTATTTTCGATTGTACAAATATTGTTTTCATTTTAGGTCAAAAAAAAGAAAACGATGACTTTCGGCGAATCTCTTTACAAAATTGTTTCTCATTATTCACAATTTTGTAAGACTTTTGTTGCTGTTCTGAAGAATTTCTTTTAATTAAATATATATTATATCTTATCGTTAAATAGATTTCGTTGCCATTGCATCGATACTTGGTACAGGTATCCTTGGTCTTCCGGTGACATTATCTGAAAGTGGTTTTCAACCATTTATAATCTCATTTTTGATCTGTTACTTTGTTCAAGTAAAAAAAAAAACGAGTAGATATTTTGGTTATTTTTCTTATATATTTCTTTCATTAAAGGTATTGACAGTTTTTTTCTTCACGGAAGTTTTACAAAAGGCTTATTATCGAAATGTTGAAAACTTACAACAAGTAAGTTAGAGTTCAACAAGTAGATTATTGTTTGTTTTATTATATTATATAGAGTGATAAGGACAATGCACCGATTCATATGGAAAAAGATGAATTACCTACATACGGATCAGATTATGATTTAGCAGCAAAACAGGGTACGGATAGATCCATATTTAAGATTAGTGTTTTTTTTATCATCACATCTGTTTCTAATTAATGTACATATCAAAAGATATTTTGATTATTATTGCTACAATCTAAGAAAGAACATTTCTGTATATCGCTGTTTCCCTAATGAATCTTCTCAGTAGGAAACACAAAATGTAGGATGATATCAACATAAATGTATAAAGAATCAAAAAACATAGAAATAATCTTTATCATTATATAAAACATAGAAAGAGAAAGAAAATTGATCGTATGCATGCTTAATCATAAGAGTTTCTCCTATTTCTTCGCTAGAATAAATACACAAAATTTGTATAAGCATCGCGGTACATTAGACAGTTGATCAGTAAAATCAACTTCTAGATCATGGTAACCGTAATACTTGTTCCACGCTTATGCTTGTACCTATTAATGTGTCTTAGTTTTACACTGGCAATTTTGTTAATTACTCAAGTAATAGCGGGATTGTGTAATGTAGTCATAAATTGTCGTCAAAAGACAATGTCAAAACAACGTCCAATTATTAATTTCTATATATTTCATCATTTAATTATATGTATAATTCGTTGTCTAACAACGTTTACAATTTGTTTTTGTCTAATAATCTATAATAAATGTCTTTCTCTTGAATTTTTTATTCATTTTCTCCTATTATTATCAACGTTTGATTTATTTATAATTATAATTGGTGAAACAGCACATTTTTGGGATTCAACAATAAATTATAAAAGTACATTGTATTCAAAATATTGTTTAACATCTGGAATAATTTTAATTTATTTTCTTTCAAGTCTTTTTATTTCTATTCATTTAACAATGGGTGGAGATAATCCACTTATTATAAATATGTGTAAAACAATAAAACAAATTTTTTTTTTCTTTCAATATTATGACAATGAAACATCCTTGCTACCAACAAGAATTCTTTATATACTCTTCATTATACTTAATTTATTAACACTTGCATGGATATATACATCATACAAAGATATATCTAAATTAAAACATAAACGTTTAGCAACAATCTTTTTTTATACACTTGTCTTAACAAAATTTGAAGAAAATGAACGGTCAATTATGGTTAATCAAACTTTAAAACGACTTTTATCTGTATCTTTATTTGTTCTAAGCAATATAACAGCTATACTACCTGCACTAACAATAACAGCTTTCAATATAACATTAAATATTTATTTTCGAATATTTTTTATTTATTTAACAATATTACCATGGTGTGAATCTGTAACATTTTTGTTTTTCAAAGAAATGAAATTCGATTTTGTAAAGAGAAGATTGAAATCACAGAAAAATCCTGATCTTCGACAACGTATTGGCACACGTTTAAGTTCATATCGAGAAAATATTATTAAAATTCCATCAAATCAAGTTTAATAAAACAACGAAGGACAATATTTTTTTTCTATTTATATTTAGAATACGGTGAATTTGTCGAATTGCGAGATATGGTTGTTCCTTCGAGAGGTGATTTTTTTTTATTCTTCATGTTGTCTTCTTTCTGTGTGTTTGTTTCTATTTTTCTATTCGTAAATACATATGTATACATATATATATATATATATTGCTTATTGTGCTCTAACAGGCGATGTTGAATCTAGTGTACCACTAATGCTAGACGACGATGATGATGATTACGACATAACTACTACTACTGCTACTAAATATTATTCCGCACAGTGTATGCATTTTGTTTGTTTTTCTTGTTGCATGAATGATTCTTTTTTATTTCTTGTTGTCATTTCAAGTTATGGATAAATTTAACTTTTTTTCCGATAGCCAATAAAGTGGATATAATCAAACGATGTTTACCAAATCTTCATTCACTTGGAGAGCTTCTATTACCATGTTTTCTTCGACAATTATTTACATTAACTGTACTTTTGAGTTTGTATGTATTAGTCGGTGTTTTTTAATTAATTTTCTGAAACGAAAAAGAGTTTTTATTAGATTATGCTTATTGGTGAGCTATGCACTAGCTGGTAGTCAAGCATTTACTACTTTATTTCATGTCAAGTAAGTTATATGAATGATAAATAAATAAATGAATTATATCAAATTAATTTTAGTTATATGAAAATGATTCCGGTTTTTTGTTGGACATGGACATTTGTCATTATTTTTCTTCATTCATTTATTCAACCGATTATATCGGTATTAACTTTTCTTAAAGGGACACTTTTTACTGGAACGGTAAATAATTCTAATTATATATGTTATGTTGTTATTTATTTTTTTGAAGGTCGTTGTAACATTATTAGTTGGATTAAAAGTACAAAATCCAGTAACAAATGATTATAAAGCTATTGGAGATTCATTTTTAATGAGTACAATTGCATTAGGTAAAATAAATAATTTTGTTTAATTTGATAAATAAAATATAATTTAGGTGGTTTAATGAATGTGATGCCATTAATGTTTTCAAAATTGAAACAGACAAGAGATGAGGTAAATTAAATATTGTTTTGTTTTTTTCTTTGACAAAATCTGTTTGATATCTTTTCTTTGTGCTTAGATTATCGGCTTTAATGTAGCTTTATTTCTTGGCTTGACAACATGTGTTATTTTAAATATTCTTTGGTATGATGTAATAGAAGTCAATGCGATTCTATTAGATAAATAATATTCAATTGAGAAAATTTTCAGAAGATCAAGTCTATGAGCAATTAGTTTCATTTATGTTTTTTTTCCTTATTTTTCTCTCCGTATTCAAATAATTTTTCTTTACCTAAACGAAACAACTGAAATAGTATCATTTAAAACTATTTCTAATCAAAATTTAACATACATGTACAAGACCTACTAATCAGAGGTGTCTTGAGATCACCAATATGGAAAGTAGGTTGACCCTTTTTGTGGTTATTGCTGAGTCAACAAAAACCGAAGAAAATAGATTAGTTTTATTGGAAAAAAAATGACAATTTTCCAAGATTAGAGAATTATCTTTTCTGCTCAGGACACTCTTGGATCTAATATTTTAATGTAAAAATGAATAGTGTTTGGTTCAAATTGAAGGATATGTATTACTAAAGACTTATACTTTGCAATAAATCTCGTCTTCTTAAAAATATTATAGAAATCTATGTATATATAGAACAATGAAATGCTGATTTGTATCGGCTAAAAATTTTATAATCAGCATTTGTGAACTGGACCGATTTATCAATATTCTGAATACTATTCCAACAAAATATTTTTTAAAAAGTAAACGGCAGCAGCATTAAAATGCTTTCTTTACACACATATATACCATTCGACTTTCCTCGGCATGTCACAAATTGCATGTAATAAAAAGAAAAAATTGAAATCTATTCGATTGCTAATTTTTTATTATAAAGTGTTTTTAAACAACTGATTTTTTAATTTATCTGTTTTCTAAAGGTGTTGGTCAATATTAGCAGTTGTTCCGCAACATAGTATATGTTTATCAAGTAATATAAATGAATCAATTCAAATGGCGTTTAATCTTTTAAATGAATCACAAATTCAAGGTCAATGTATTTATTCGCCGTCTTTACAAAGGTAGATTTATTTTGAAAAACAATCTTCTCTTTTAATTTTTTGTTCTTTTTTTTTTCTAAGAGCGGAATTGAATGGAGAAATTTCAACAGTACCTTTAAGCAAAGTTCGTTTTAGAAAACAGAACTAAAAAAAACAGAGAGTTTTTTCGTTTTTAATTAGATTCTTGAAAAAGATGATTACAAATTTTTTCAATATGTTTCATTTATTGTTCAATTATTTATTGTAATAAGTATTTCGGTTTCATTCATGACTATGGGTTCAGCCTTACATCATACAAGTAAGATGAGTATTTTTCATTCTATTTAATTAATAAATTATATCTTTCTAGTCAAAGGTGTTGTTGATTCATTTTGGAACCCTGCATTAGAAGCAGAAACAAGTTTAACAAGATATGGAAATGTTTTTCAATATATTACTATCCGACGGTAAATAATAATGGGTAGACCGAAAGTTTTCAGATAAAATATTTCTAGATATGTCTTAGAAATATTTTCTTAGCTTTTGTTCGCGACTAGTGAAGACATTTTTTTAAAGACCCCAATAAAATAAGATTGAATGGTAAACCGATAGATATTTGCTAGTTCCTATTAATTTCTTTTTTTAAAGTGCCAAAAAATATTGTAGTCATTTGTTTTGTCGATTGAACACTTCTTTACAAAATATTATATTGAACTAAGCAGTATCTTTTATCTAAGTGAAATTATAAACAATTTTTCAAGAGCACCTTGCTATATAAAACACTTTCTGATCAAAAATGAGGATTTAAGAGAAACGAAAATTGAATTGACCTGTAGAAAAACAAACAAGAACCTTCAATAGTATATTTTGTAGGGTACCTTCGACTCGACAAGTTGATATATTAATAAAGGTGTCAATATTTACTTCCGAATTACAATAATAAATGTAAAACAAGTGTGTGGAAAAATTTTCCACCAAAGCTATGTTTTGGTCTTTCAAATGATCATCTCATTGATCGCAAGAAAATTTCTAAGTCTACATTCAGAAACAATAGGAAATTCTGGTCATAACTAGATACGAATAATATAGTTCTGGTCTCGATCCTACTAAGACTGAGAACAGTACAACCCTTTTTCATTGGGAATGATATCTTTTTCGGGTGGTGTAAAATTTCTATCGAATGTCATATTCTCATGATTCGTGTGTGCTTAAAGTTTATGAGAAAATTATTCAGTAATGATCACTCACAATTTTGATAGTAAATTAAATCCTGTTTTTCGTAAACAACAGAGCTATCAAACACGTCAACATGCAGAATAGATGAAGTATTAGTGAATTAAAAAAAGTAATGAATCTCCCGAAGGGTAAATATTGGAGGTCATGCGAATCACGCAAGATTTCTTGAACTCATTGACACTGGTAGAAAATGGCATCACATTTTTCGCTAGAACATGCATTAGTAAGCGCCAAGCCAGACCCAACAACGATTTGTCTACTCATTGTTAGTCATAACCCATAATTTTTAACTCTTTAGAAATACTTTCGAGATAGTGAAAAATGAACAAATATTTTGTCTTAAAACTTTCGGCTCATCTATTAAATTATGAAGTTAATTTTAGTGAAATGATAATTTATCAAATTTTTCTAGAATTATTCAATGGATTTTTTCTTTAATTATTTTCTCAATGGTCTTTGGTATTGCAATGAGTAATCCAAAGGTTTGCAAAAAAAAACAGAAAAAACACTAGGAAATCGTAATTATTAATTTATAATAACTTTAGGGTTTTAAAAGTATTCTTGAACAAGCTGGAAGTCTTTTTCAAAATATTGAAATGGGTATATTTCTTGCAATAATGATCTATAAAGTCTCGACGGCAGAATATCGGTAAGCAACATTAATTCTTCAGCACACTGGAAAAAACAGAGCTTTTTCCATATGTTTTGTTTAGTCGTTATATATTACCTTTTCAATTACCACGGTGGTTTATTCATTTTCAATGGATCATTCCGATTTATTTTGTCTTCGCTGTGATTTATGATATATATCATATAATTCGGCATTATTTATATTAAAAAAGAAATGAAATGAAAACAGAAAATATTGAATTTTTTGATCGTTGTCACAATGTCTCTTATTAATATTGTCTCAATAATATATATTATTTTTATTTGTTTGTTTTTGTCTGTAACATAATTGTTGTCATTGATATTTTTATTTAGTTTCCTCTTGCAATTTTGATGTTCCTATTTATTTTTCTTATCTTCTCAGACGAAGGTCGCGATGTTTGTCGAAACAAAAAATAGAACAATAATAATTTTTTTGTTTGTTGTCTTCAGATTGAAAAATCATAATGGCTTTAGGACCAGCTGATATTGGACTTCAACATGTATATGATCAACTAGCACAATCCTATATTGGATTTGAACAATATGAACAAGAATATAATAATACTAATAATATATCAACAAATAATTCTTCAGGTATCATTTTGACTTATGCATTGAAAAAGAATTACAAAGATAAAAATTCATGACCATCTCGAATAATAATTGCAGCATATACAAAAGAGAAATGGTTAATTCTAAAACGTTTAACACATTTTTTTTTCATAAAACTCGTAGTGATTTCCGAATATATCTAACCTTTCTTACTATTTTATAATTAGTTACTTTTTATTTATCATATATAACAATTGATTATAATGCGTTTGAATTTATCGCAAAAGTTAGGAGAAAAATATCTAGTGCTCTTATTATTCGAATCCTCTAAAATATGATAAATAGTTTCGATAAACTAAATAATCCTTCAGTGAAAACAAAAAAAATCTCCAAATTTTTTAAGATGTAAGCAGTCTAATAAACTTTTCATCATTACACAAGAATTAACTTTCTCCATTCTTTATCGATGATTGTCTGTATACTCGTTGTGAATCTAACTGCCATGTCATGGTATTGACCATAACACAATGATCAATTTCTATCGAGGACGTAGGCATGACTTTTTGGTGTCAAAAACATATTTGTTTCGTAGAAATATTGATTTTTCGTGTTCAGTAGAATGATTGATGGAGAAAAAGTGACATTTCGAAAAAGGAGGTTTTTTTTATGTAAAATGAATTTTCTTTGTTAATTTCAAGTATACTCTTATTTTTCTCTCAAAGATTAAAAGAAAACCTGTATCTCAGTTCAAAAGTTTTTGTGTATCTTTGTGCTAACTTAGTAGTCCTGTTAGGCATCGTAAAACATTCTATGGAAGTTTCGTCGAGTTTGAAACTGTATTAAGATGTACGCACTGACTACGCTGAACACGACATGTTAGAAAACTCTTAGCTGAGAAAGCATGTATACTTTTCCAACATAAAAACTGTTAGAAAAAAAATTTTTCATATAGAACGATAGAGCAAGAGCTCTACGATTTCTTTCATAGGTCTTTCTAGTTTTTTTCAAAAAAAAAACTTAACCATTTTTTTTAGGCCTACAATTTTCTTACACTTCTAAAGTACCAGAATTCTTTGTTTTAAATCAAAAACTTGTTCATTAGCCGACATATATAGGACATTATTCACACCGGAAAAAATATCACTTTGATTTTTTCACCAAATGTCAATAGGTTATTGTCCACTGTGCACTGAAGTATACAAGATATCTTTTGACATAACTATATCTTGATTATTAAAAACTAACAATTATTTTTATTTTATTCTACTAGTAAATACAAATCATAATTCAAGTTTACCAATTCAAAGAAATAATGTCTGCTCGTCTAATTATCCATCAAATATTGCGAAAACAATGACATATTCTCGTTATGCATCAACATCAAATGGAAATTCTCAATTTCCAATAAAACGTCTTTTCACTCCATTTCTATCAAGTGTTTATACTGAAATTGATACAATATGGTTTCGAAAAAAATGGTTAATATTCAGTGATAATCGTAAAGAAACATTTTTAACATTAAGTTCAGATATATCAGACTATTTAACTGTACAAATGGCAATCGATCAAAATTGTTTTATAAACAGTAAACTACCTCTTCTTAATCAGCCTGAATGTTTACTTATTCGAACAGAAGGCAATAATAAAAGTTTATTTTTACCTAATTCAATTATTTCATTTGGAAATTTTTTTGATCGAAATAAACAATTATCTCAAGCAAAATTAATTGCTATTATATGTGAGTCAGATAAGATGAAGAATAAATTAATGTTTTATAAACATTCTCCAACAAATCATTGGTATATTCTAAATAATGATCTGATAAATCCATCACAATCATTTTCAAATATATTATCGAATGAAGAACAACTTCAACTTGAATCATTGTTGAAACAAAATAATCATAGAAAGTTTATTCATCCATCTGAATTAGATCGTCCATTATCTGCTTTATGCTATCATCCTATTACTTATATATATGTTGTACAGAAAATCAATGATGAAAATTAGTAAACTTTTGGCTATACTCAACGAATGTGATCAAAAAATGTTTGTTTTTTGTTTTGTATTGTGATTTTTATTGAATTAACAAATTCAATTTTTTTTTGATTGTATAATTTTATTAATTGAATTGACCATTTGAGTTCACTGATTATGTGATTTTTAGAATGAATGTAAAAGATCTTTAACTATTTTTTTATTTTATTTTGTATGATGTACGAATTATATATTTTCTACTTATTATAATACTGTGTCTTCATTTATTAAAGCAAAAAAAAATTTTATTTTAAACTCAATTATTTTTCTTTTTCTTTTTAAGATAAGAAATAATTTGAGAAGTCATTGAATTCCTCATTCGAACATTCCTAATTACACTGTCATCATAAATAATTTATGGCAACTCGTATGTAATATATTTTTTTGCTTAAAGGTTTTTTTGTTATGATATTTTCGTTTAGATTCTAACTCGTACGATGATAAAGATGATTTTCTTAAATATATTATTAATGAAGCTAAAGCTGGTTATATGGAAACTCGCTGTCGAGATTATTTAGATGTACGAACGTATAGACATGCAATTTGCTTTGATACAGGAGAATATTTTGATGCCTTAGAATTATATGCTCCAGTTGGATCATTAACTATTCAAAAAATAATTGATGATCATCACGATTTAGATACAATTCATTTACGACGACCAGCACCCGTTATTTTACCAATAATAATATCAAAAATTTGTAATGATCCTAATTCATATGTAATTCCATCAGGAGTACTTAATATTCATGCTATTCTTCCTCGTTCACCACGCTATCAACTTGAAGCTATTATATGTGAATTAAATCAACATTGTGTTATTTTTGTAAAAAATTTAGAAACAGATAAGTGGTATTATTATCAAGATGGTTATACATGTGAACAATTTAGTAGTGATTTAAATGATAATTTGAATAATATAATTGAATCAAGATCAGTAAATGAACAAATACGTTTAATAGAATCTGCACATTTTCTTATTTCATTAATTTTTCATAATGCAGTTAAATATATTTATAGACAAGAAGAAAAATGAATTTTTATTTTTTGTTTTGTTTTTTCTAATTTTCTACTATGGCATTTCTTTGACATACAAGTGATATAAATTTATTTTGTGCGTTTTTCTTATAATAAAGTCTATAAGAAAATAATAATTCAGAAAAAGAATTTATTTCATTTTTTTGGAGATCAATGAATAGTCTAACTATTGGTGACATTGTTCAGAATTCAGGACAACGTGCTATGTAAGTATCTATAACAAAATAATAAAAAAAAAGAAAGACCAATAATCCTTATTATTCGTCTCAAATAGTGTTCGTTGGCTTGGTTTTATCGAAGAAATATCGATAATCGGTTTGCAATTGATTGATTCGATATTACCTGGTAAGAAAAAAATGTTTTTCATCTTCTTCATTAAGTCTTTTTTTATGTTAAAGGCTATACTGATGGTACTTGTCCATTTGATAATAAGCGTTACTTTAATTGTCCAAATGGACAAGGTTATTATATCTTAGAAACGAACTTTACTGATTCGTACAAGATTATTCAAAAGAAGATCGAGATTAGCAAACTCACTACTTCCGATGATGAATTCCATGAAACAGAGTAAATATTTAATTGAATAATATGAATAGATGAAATTTTCTTGAATGATTTCATTCTAGCTGCGATTATAATAGGAAATTAACGTTTGATTACAGTCAATTCGTATAGTTTTTTTTTTTTGTTTTGTTTCTTAATATTATGTAAAATTTATTATTGTCTTCTACAAAAGTTCAACAATGTCAAATTCATATCAAAGAATTAAAAAAAAAAGATAGCTTGAATCGTGTAATTAAAGTATTTTCAAGGCGTATTTCCAACACTTTTTTTGATAAACAGTAGACTACCTGTTTAGTATTGTATTGAAATAATTAATTATTTTTCTCAATTAGGGAAATCAAATAAGTATGAGACAATATATCAAATAAGAGATAATATGAAGTTTTACGAAACAAATTCAAAGAATTAGGAATTATTTTAGTAATATGATAAAGAATCAGTGTAATCTTTCTCATAAAGAAGTTACATTGGTTTATCGATAACTCATATTTAAAAATCTTTAGTTGGTCCAATGCATCCCTTACATTTCTCTATCTGTTTGAGAAAGCAACAATTAGTCACAATATAGAATAGGTTGCATGTTTGACAGAAGCGTGATTCCTATTTCACTTTCCTGAAACCTCAAATTGTCGACATGTGATTCAATCATATACAGCCCCATACTAAGACGAGGGTAGTATGTGAAAAATAAAGATTTACCCTTGAAATCGGCTGTTTGATGATCTCGTTGATAAACAATTATTGAATTTTGGCATTCACATACTGAATTCATCAAAACTGTAGTAGACAGAAGCTCTCGAATAAGAAACAAAAGTATAGGATCACAGGGAATTTTCAAAATAACCACTACTGTCTCTCGTATAAGACTTCATATTGAGTTAAAAGAGTTCATTAAACATACGTATTTATATTTATATCTAATGTTTCTTGTCTTTGAATACAATGTTTGTTGTTTTCTGGACCTTCTCCAAATTAGCTCTCCATCATGCTAAGAA